GATTGTGACGGCGGTTGATTTGATGCATTGACATTCATGTTTTAAACATAAAATTGAATATCAAAATCTAAAAAGAAAAATGACAATACCTGACATGTAAGTAAGAGATCTTCAATTAAATCACAAAAGAACAATGAGAATAAGAATTAAGATAAAAGAATAAGGAAAAAATAGTTTCATGTGTATGATTGAATAGAAAGTTTTTCAAGTTTAAAATGGTGAATAGATTTGAGTCGCTCTTCAATAAGACGAGCACGTTGCTCGATTATTTCAATCATTTTCGTAGTTAATTTTTGTTCATCTGGAAGTAATTGTTGTTCTTCTCTAATTTTTTTCATTTTATCATTATATTCATTTTGATAACGCATCTGTTGATTTGTAGCTGATTGAGTATAGAGAGTGTGCATATCTTTTTTTGTTTGCTCAATAATTTGTTTATATTGAGAATAGAATTGTTGTTGAACATTGGCGTTACCAATCGAATCAAATAAAGGAACGCGAGCAATAGGTAAACGTTCAAAATTGTATGAAGCATTGCAATGAATGAGTTGTTTATCAAGTAGTTCGGATGTATATTTGCTCAGTTCTTCTTGTTGTTTAGCAGTACAGAGTTCTTCGGTTAATTTTATCTAGTTCAAAAGAAAAACGAAATTCAATAAGATAGATTGATTGATGAAAAATTTTCGATGAACTTACTTGAGCTTCATTAGGATTCTGTTGAAGATAATCAAGTTTTACGATTTGTTCATCATAATCAAAATGTACTAATTGTATTTTATGTTCAATTTTCTTACGTAGACTAATGAGATTTTCTTCAATGAATTTCTCAATTGCTTGTTGAATCATGATTGAACAATGAGGTAAATGATTTAATTGAACTTGTAGATCAACATGATATTCTTGCTTAACTTTGACTAATTGAGCTAGACGATTTTTGACATAGGCTAAACAAGCTTCATTTTCTTCGACACCAGAACGAACAGGCACTTTAACCATAGATTTGACAGGTTTTACCCATAATTGTGGACCTAATTCATTTCGAGAATAATGAGAGTTCAATTGACCCGAGCCCGATTGCAAATAGATCGTCCAAAGAGAATATAAAATCTCAATGTACTTGATTCGATGAATCAAAATAGCTATTTGTCGAAATTTTTCTAAATTGTCGGATGATGATGATACTGCCGCTGTCATTGTGTTGGTAGATAAGATTGAATTAATCATTTTTTCAAATGATTTATTACTTTTGGTAAGATACTTCGGCGTTTCTCTTAATTGGTCTGGTTTCATCTTTTTTGATTGCTTCTTTTTCGACTCTATTTCTGATTGTTTTTGCCGGGAGGTTGACAGTTGACTCAATTTCTGTGATAGAACATGTTCTTCGGT